ATATTGTGAAAAATAAATTATAAATAAATTATATAATGAATGATTTATAAATTCCTTCGGATTGATTTACATATTATTTAGAGTGTATTTTGCAGTTACAGTGACGAAGCTGCAAATGAGAACACTGCCATCAGCCGTAATCAACAGGAGAAACCCTTTTGCATTTCTTTCCCTCGCCGTCTTTTTCCACGTTCTCCTTCTCAGTGCAGTAAGGTCCACTCTGGCTATAGGTAAAAAGGTTTTAGGCTCAGGGCCAACTTTAAAAGCTGTATTATAGACACATTGCACTGAGTAATGCACTGACCTGGCATCAGTTTTCCTATCGATCCACACTGTCCCCTTCCCTTCCTCTCCTGGCTTTCTTCTCAGGGAGCATTTATTGCTGAATCTATCATTTTTCTTGAATAATAACATCTCTATTTTAGTCTTGAGGGGAGCTTGAAATCTTATGAGGGCTTGCATAAGGAAAGTGAGAATGCCTCTCTCTGGTTGTTGCAGCACTTCACTGAGACAATTTGTTTAGATTTTTCTCTTCTGTCTCTTTTTGTCACAGGGACCTTGCGGTGATTGTTGCGGCCATGGCGTATAACTCATGGTTCACCAAACTTTATTGCAAAGACTTGCGCATTGTAAATATCTTTCTATGACCTTCTCAATTTCCAGAGAGTCCTGTTTTGTTTTTCTGTTTTTGTTTGTGTTGTGTACAAAATAGTGCTGTAGTATTATCAGGGTTGTACCTACATGCTGTTTTGGAAACTAATTTGATAGTAATACGATCATATTCTTTGAAGTAACAATGTTATCATACCTTGGTATATGAATATGGTATTCATTCAGTACCATTACCAGTAATTCAAGGCTGCATTTGTTTGATGAATAATACAGTAAAAACTTTAATATTTGAAATATTATTACACGTGCTCAAGAATGATCTTTTATTATTATCAATGTTTTTGCTGCATTTTGTGAAAACCGTGATACACTACCATTCAAAAGTTTGGAGTAAGTAAGATTTAAAAAAGAATAAATGAATGCTTTTATTCAGCAATGATGCATTCAATTAATCAGAAGTGAGTGTGAAGACATTTAGAAAAAAAATATTTTAAATAAATGTTGTTGTTTTGAACTTTCGATTCATCAAAGAACACTGAAAAAAATGTATGACAGTTTGCACAAAAATACTGAACAGCAAAAACAGTTATTAATAACCATTATTAATAATTGAGCACAAATAATAAGCAATAACTGTAGCAAATCAGCATACTAGAATGATTTTTGAAGAATCGTGTGATACCGAAGACTGGAGTAATGGCGGCTGAAATGCAATTTTGCATTTATACATTTATTTTAAATGTATTAAAATATAAAACAGTTATTTCAAATTGTACTGTTTTTACTGTATTTTCGAACATAAATTCAGCCTATTATAAACCTTATATAAACCTATATAAATAGATCTTCCTGCCTCAAATCTGTGTCCGTATGCATGAGATTACAGTCATTATGGTGGGTCTTCCTAAGAATTTAATTCTAACACTTTTTTTCTTTTCCCCCTCTTTCTTTCTCTCACACACACAGAGTTCAGAGGTCGTAGAACAGATTCTGCACACTGTCAGTAAATCCAGCAGTCTGGAGGAGCTCACGCTGGAAAATGTGGGCCTTAAAGCGTAAGTTATAATTCTCTCTATTGCTCTCTTTCTGTTATTCATCACTTTGACCATTTTACTCTCTTTCTTTTCATCTAAAAGTTCGTTTCTTGTTCTGTCACTGTCATTTTTCCCTTTATGCCGTTCCCAGTCTTATTCCCCTGCCACATCCTTGCCTCCGTATTTCATCTCTGTCCCAGAGTGCAATACTTTGTATTGCGGTTCCGTTTCTACTCACATTCTTTCTGTCATTTAGAGATTTCCCACAGAAAATGGCCACTGCCCTGGCAGAAAACCCAGCATCAGTCATACACTCCATTAACTTGGCCCACAATACACTGGACAACCAAGGTACATGCATCAAAGTCTCTCTTTATCTGCTATACCTCTCTCTCCCCTCCAGTCTGTCTATTTACCTGCCTTTGTCTGATTTTACACTCTCTGTATCAGCATGTGCATCTGCTATGTCTGTCTCTGAGTGGGTGTTTTTTTGTTCTTCTTGTCTCTGCTTTGCTGACTTATTGTGCTGTATCTGTTGCTGATTTAAAAATGGGTTCTTTGAGATGTGCGTGTGCTCTGCTTTTTCTAATGTGTGTGTTTTTATGTAGTTTTGAATGTACTGTACAGTAAAAGTAACGCTACCATCTTAACTATATATTAATAGCATGACAATATATTTATTCTGATAAATGATACTTCCCCTTTTATGTAGCCTAGCTTCAGTATAATTAGATACTTCTTGTCAGTAGCTTGTGGTGTCACTAACAGGATATATAGGATATGTCCTCTATATGCATCAGTGTCAGATTTTCAGACTGCTATCATGCCCGACACATGTCAGTGCTGTTCACATCACAAGTGTGCATGTGTGAACATAACTACAACAATGTCAGTGTTTGCCTGAAGGTGCGTGATAATATGCAGTGTGTAAATTGGGCTGTGACTGATCTAATGTTTGTGAATGTATATTTCCTTACAGGGGTGTCTAACCTTATCCAGCAGGTGTGTCGGCTCAGTAAAGGCTTGCGTCTACTGACCCTCTCCAAGACGTCGCTCTCTTCAAAGGGTGTGTGCAGAAGCTATGTGTCCCTAGAGGTTTAGCGCCCTCTGCTGGTTAAGTCTATAACAACTATCCCACAATTACCATTCAATAGAGGTCCGAACAAGCATTAAATAGAAGCCTGTAAAGTTCATGTGAGATCAGGGCCCGTATTCACAAAACATTTTATCTTACCACTAAGAGTTCTCCTAAATATCAGTTAAAAATTTTAGCTTAGAGTTTTCTCTTAAAACCTGTTCACAAAGCTGCTGAGACAAACTTTTACTAAGGAATAGACAGAAGTCTTAAGCTAAGAGTAAGGGCGGGGTTGACCTTGTTGCTATGGATGATGTCAGCATACTTACTAACTATGCACACAGTGATTGGCTGATAGTCTCTGTCAGAGATTTATTCATAGAAATATTGTAGAGCGCAATATTATGTTGCCAAATTCAAATAAAAGTTTTAAAATAAAAAAGATAATTGCCACATTCAAATAAAGATTTTAAAATGCAGGCTAAGTGTCACTAATTAAACAAGTAGGCTATATATTCAGCTAATTGTCAGCCTCTTATATGTATGCTTCTCGTAACCAATTAGTCAATATGCATTAGGGCTGCACTCGACTAAAGATTTTTCTGGTCGACTAGTAGTAATTCATTTTAAGCATTAGTAGACTATTAGTCGCACTTTTATTGAAGGGCCTTTCGCACCGTGGGAACCTTTCCATAGTACCAGAACTAATTGTGGAACTACCCACTTTTTGGCGTTTTCGCACCGCCAGAACTGGGTGCTTTTTTAGTACCGGACTGCCTTTTTGGAGAACCAAATTAGCTCCTACTCCGGAGCAGGGTCTATTTTTTTATTTATTTATTTATTTATTTTCCGGAGCAGGGTCTAACCAGCACAACTGGTACTAATCGTGACGTAAGTAGACACTGATTGGCCAAACGCGTACAAAA